TAATAATAATAATAATAATAATAATAATAATAATAATAATAATAATAATAATAATAATGATATTGAAAAGTAGAAGACCCAGGACTGATCCTTGTGGCACCCTGCTTAATACCTTGATAGAATTATTGTTTACAAACTGTAATTCGCTGTCGTTACCTCCACAGCTTGACCATGAGATGTTGTTTTGTACTGTTGGAGAAGCCCACGTGGGTCCTGTGGAAAGCCCCTTTCTAATCTACTGCTTTTGAGGGGGTGGGGGGAGGGCAGGAGCAGGGTTGCCTTTGGTCTCTTCTACCCCCCCCTTTAGTTTCCCTTCCTGTCTTTTTCAACAGGGCCCCGAAGTGGGGTGGAGGCACTCGCGTGGGTGGACTCTGCCCCAGGCGCCAGAGCTCCCTGGACGACAGACGGATGGGCGGATGGATGAGGCCAGGGCCCAGCCTCCACTGGCCAGCGGGGGCCTTCAGCTTGCCCAGCCTTCCAGCGAGGGGGGACGCAGCGGCTCTGGTGCTGCCGGATCCTCCTCTCCCTTCTGAAATGGTGTCTTCCCACAGATGGAGCAGGTGCCTTCTGGAGCATTTTGTTGAGGGCTCGCTCAGGGAAGCTCTGGAAAGCGAGTGACCTTTAAATCTTCCAATTGTTCGTGTCGGTCCAGGCTGTTTTCTACTTGATCGGAACCGGGCACCATTATGGGTTTGTGGTGTCCTTAGCTTCTTCCCAGGGTCACCCGCTTTCTCGACTGCAGTTCTTTGCACCCCGAGCTCAGCAAAGGGAGCAGTTCACACCACCAACTAAGCCCCAAAGAAACCAACGTCTCCCCACGGTTAGCATCATGTGTCAGTGCAGCTCTGAGGTCCCAACCTGAGCTGCCTCAGCATGTGGGATTGCTGCCCATAAGCTGCCCCGAAACCCACGTTCACTTTTGCCTGCGACTAAGGGATCCCTTTTATTCTTCTCTCTCAGGGAGATTTCCTACCGAAGGGAAAGCTTGCAAGGTTTTGGCCCCGCAGGGCTGCTCCTGGGCCTGGATTCTTCCCCACTTGGAGCAGGACAACCCAGGCTCCCTGACCCGTGCACCCCCTGGCAAGGACAGCCTGCCCCTGCAGTCGAAAGGACCTCTTAGACCTTCTCCCATTTGCCACTGCTGCTGCTGCCCGCGGCCAGCCCTCCCTTGGCCCAGGAAGGACTGAGCGTCCAGAGGCTCCGAGGGGAAGGCGCTGGCTGCCCTGCTTTCGGGGAGCTGCTCGCCTGGCAGCCAAGCAAGGGAGGCGGAGGGAGGGGGGGCGACGTTGGGCATTCCTGACCCTGCCGAGTACACAGAAGCCCGACCAACCGTCCGGTTCTTGCCCCGGCCAGGCGGCCTGGCTGGGGAAGGGAGCAGGCCGGGGACACGGCGTCCTTCCTCCTCCGCAGCTGGCAGTGCCCCTTCGGACTCAGCCATCAACTGGCATGCCAGACCCAAGTGCTTGGGTTAGCTTCACCCCACAGCTGCTGACCCCAAAGTTCTGGGTCTGCTCCTTTAGTTGGCCATGGGGACGGCGCCGGGCCAGAGATGGGCTCAACTTGACCTTTGCCATCTGCGTACTCGGGATTACTGGCAGCTGAATTGCCACCTTTCCTCAGAAGGGAACTGACTCCTGGGGGGTGGCACTTAACTTAGCAGCAGATCAAACCCAGCTGTTTAGCCTGGAGTGGGAAGAAGGTCACGGGGGGGGGGCTGTACCTGCCCCCCAGGGGAGGAGTAGCCATCATGGGGGACAAGGGGTTAAAGTGTGTGGTCCGGCTTGTGCAATGCACTGAGTGCATTCCTGGGTTGGGAAACATCTAGGCCCTCCCCGTATAAGAGGCCGGGCACTGGGGCTAGACTGGCAGTGCAGCATCATGGGTGGCGTGCCTGCAGTTCTCTGCCTTAGCTGGACCCTGGCACTGGTGTGTGCCCACCCCTTGTGAGTTGCTGTGGGAAGAGGGCCAGGAAGGCCACCCATGGGGAGGGGAGGGTGGTGTGTGCAGAGGGGGGGCAAGCCCAGGTCTTTGGAGGGGCCAGAGAGTAGGCCGTCAGCCATCCTTAGCATTCTCACCTTTCTTTTGAGGGTGGGATTTGTGGGGGGGGGCAGTCTGAGTAGAGACTGACCAGGGATCCCTTTTGGCTCCTGGGCTGGGAGAGGTATCAGCCCTGCTGCAGGAAGCAGGGGGTGGGGATCAAGGCATGGCTGCCCTGCAAAACCAAACGCTAATGGGGGGGATTTCTCTGGCAGCGGACAGCGTGGCAATGGCAAACTCAACAAGACAGTCGACACCTGGCATCACCTG